CGGGTTGCATCGAAAGGGTTCGGAAATGTCGGAAATCACATGATCGCGAATTTTTTCTGCCATCACTTTGCTACCTGTGAATATACGTATAAATGTATGTGCGAAAGTAGCGCAATGCATATTGTAGATATGTTAATGGTTTCTCTTAAATTTCATATTAATTGCATAATCAATTTTAGCGATAATGTTACAATCATTTATAGTTGTTTTATATACGTATCGATATGGTTTGATTAAACGCTTATTTCAGATTAATCTGAATGCTCCAGGAGTTTTTTTTTATAGGTTCATAAAATATCCATACGGGAAAAAATAAGTAATTCTTTTTTAAACTTGAATTTAATAAACTGATATGAGTACGTACGTACGTATTATATTTTTATTTTTACCGCAACTTTTACCGGGTCCAGTCAGTGAATCAACTTCGTGCACGTGAATTTGACTTAAGTCGCAAAAGTATACACGATTATTTTTCCCATTTCTTTACACTTAGCGGCTAATTAATTTGGTAGATAATAATTTACCACAAAGTAAAAACAGAATTATTTCATCAAAATTATTTGCATTTTTCAAGTATCATATTAACCTTATATCATTCGGAAATCTTTGAAGACGCGATCTCTAAGAAAGCGCGTATACAATTTCAATTTCATACACATGTATGTGTATATATATAAGAGACAAGCATTATGTATAGGAAACTTTTGTACAGTATATCATTTACAATCACTTCAAGAGCAACTCGACAAATTGCGTGCAGAAGCGGAAAGTTTAGAAAGTTGCTTACAGTAAGTTCATTCAATTAAGGTTTAATGTGATCTAACTTGAACTAATCTCGATCTTTGATTATGCTTCATATTCAAAAGTCTTTGGATGACCACTATCGTCTTATACGCGAATATAATGCAATCAAGATATTGTTCAAATGCTGTTCGGAAAGGTAATGATGAATGAAATCGATTTTTTACACATACATATGTATATATTATTTTCACTTGAATAATACATTGTGTTGAACTCGATGGTACAAACGTATGAGCAATTTGAATTAGAACTCAAACAGAGATGTATGAGCGTTTTGGATTGATTGAAAATCGAGTATATCGATCGATATTATCAGTACGTTTGGTATAAGATTCGAGTACACTAAAAGTTTTATTTTCGAAAATATTATAGATTTCAAGCATACACTTAAATTTTTATATATTGGAACATTAAAGTTAAATAATTATATATTAAGGTGTAATTTAAAATATAATAATAATAAATACAA